ACTCGCCTCACCGGGTGCTCCGCAGCGCCCTCCACGCCGCCGATACCAACGCCCGCCTCCGCCAGACGACGGAGGTCCGCAAACGACCGCGGCGGCGGCGGCGGTGGCGGCGGGCCTGCAACGCACGAGGGAGTGCGCACAAGCTGGTAGACAAACTCCGCCGGGCGCTTGCAGCGGCCTGGGCGCTTCAGGTGCGGCGCGCCGAACTCCACCTCTGCCCCGGCGGGAACGGGAAACGTCGCGCGTGGAGGGATCAGCTCGCCGCAGACCGCTGTTCCGTTGACGCTCTCCTTGAGGGAGGAGCGCCCGCCGTCAGCGAGCAGCACGCTGCCACTGTCGTCGACCCAGATCTCCGCGTGCATGCGGCTGACCAAGCCGGGCGACGCAGAGAGAGTTGGCGCGTTGAGAAACGTGGCTGCGACCGGCTGCGTCTGCGGGGTGAGCGGGTCGGCGGAGCTGCTGCAGCTCCCGTCGCCCCGGCATATGCGGATCACCTTGCCGGTGGTCAGCGGGATGCGAGCCGGACGGTCTGCGCGCTCGGGGCCGCTCACGAGCCGCAGCTCGTAGCCGTGCTCGCCCATGTTCTGCGGGCTCTGAGCAGCGAGGCGCCCTGGCGCCCACTGCGGTCCAGTAGCGCAGTAAACCGCCGCGCGGTCTGGCGCAACGAATTTGTTTTTTGTTTGAACCGAGCGCCAGTGCTCCAAGTGCCCATCCGGAGCTGGCGAGGTACTTCCAGCCTGCTGTGGGAACAGCTGACGCAGTCTCGCCGAGGCTCGCCCCAGCATCGGCCAGACAAAAACCCGGAGAGGCGTGGGAGTACCTCGCCAGCCAGATCCGAGGTGTTTTTCTGCGCGAACTGCTCACAAGAAGAGACTCTCTGCTCACAGGGTTTTTCGAACGCGCAAAGGAACGGAGTAGTCTCTTTCAACTTGTCAAATGTAAACCGCGTCGCGCACTATACACTTAGCACATCACACCATTCAGCATTCTCCTTTAAAAGCACGTCGTCTTGTCCTTTCGCCTGCGGAAACGTTCAGCTCCCCCATTCCTGTCCCCGCCCGCCGGTCTCATACTTTACTGCGGACTCCAAGCGGCAGGCAGCAAAAGCACGCAAACAGAACCCCGAGAACGTCTTTTTCGACAAACGGTCGTACACCGCGGGCAGCCCACAGGGCACGGGTGCCACAACCGCAATAGGATGGAAAAGGAAGGGTGGTGTTGAGAAACACCGGGGTTTGGGTGAGCCGGACGCTTACGCGCGCTCGCCACGGATGCGGCGGGCCAGCTGGATGTCCTTGGGCATGATGGTGACGCGCTTGGCGTGGATGGCGCACAGGTTGGTGTCCTCAAAGAGGCCAACCAGGTAGGCCTCGGACGCCTCCTGGAGCGCGACGACGGCCGACGACTGAAAGCGCAGGTCGGTCTTGAAGTCCTGCGCAATCTCGCGCACCAGGCGCTGGAAGGGCAGCTTGCGGATCAGCAGCTCTGTCGACTTCTGGTAGCGGCGGATCTCACGGAGCGCGACAGTGCCCGGGCGGTAGCGGTGCGGCTTCTTGACGCCGCCGGTGGCCGGGGCCGACTTGCGCGCCGCCTTGGTGGCGAGCTGCTTGCGGGGCGCCTTGCCGCCGGTCGACTTGCGTGCTGTCTGCTTGGTGCGTGCCATGGTCGTTTGCTGGGTGTTGTTGTTGCTTGTAGTCCTGACTCCTACAAGCAA